ATTTTGCATATCTATTCTAGATGCTTGTAGCAGTAAATTACGTCAAAACAATGTATTCACTATTGCTAAACGTAATTTGGATGGTCAAGATATGCTTTACCAATCTATGAAGCTTACAAACGGTATCTGGGTATTAGCCGAATTGAAAATTCAACCAGACAATCCGTCTTTTATTGTAAGATTGATTAAATAATTAATGTATGGTATTATTTATGTCTATCCGTTTTGTTAATATTTTAGTTAAATTTATTAATGAATAATGAATTAGTGATGAAAAAGGAAGCATTAAGTATCCTTTAGCCATATTTGAATTGTGACTATCAGTGAAATATAGAATGCGCCATTTTGCAATGTACCTACATCCCTAGTGTTGTTTATTCATCAAGCTACTTAACCCATGTATCAACTAACAGGCATAAATACATTTGTAGTTTCCTATTGTGTTGGTATTCTGAAATCCAGTTGATCGGTCTACGGATTTTAATTAAAAAGAAATTATCAGTATGGGGTAGCGGAGATTATTATGTTTTTGATTGAGATCATGTGTCGATCAGCGTTAGACCACCGCTGAAAACCTGGAAGCACTGAACATCCGTTCCGTCCCGTTGTGGGACTCCTCAGCAGTGCCCATCCACGGTCCCGCTCGTGGGATTCGAATCCAGGGCATTTGGTTTTGCACGCGAACGCTCAACCTCTAGACCAGTGAGCCGGCATCCAACGGTGTTAATGTCTAACCTCAACAAATCCACGAAATCGCGCGACTATCTTTCATTGTGCTGAGGCAGATACCTGTCTACTTGACAAGGGGTAGCTCCACTGGTGACGACTTCGAATCCTCCGAGCGGGATCATGGATGTGCACTGCTGAGGAGTCCCAAGATAGGACAAAACAGCCGTTCAGTGCTTCCGGGTTTTCGATGGTGGTCAAAGATCGATCGGTTCATGGTCTCAATAAAAAGAAATTTTTAGATGTATATACGGATTCGCTTTCAATTTCAGCCAGAGTGTGATCATTAGCGACAAACTCCAAAAGAGGAAAAATTACTCATAAGCAGGTTACAAATGATGTTTGTTTGCAAATCATTTCCTCGTAACGATCTTACTGAGAATTTATTTTAGACTAGATGCATTTTTACTACAACGGTATCCGTCAATTCATTGAAACATTCTGTTCTAACCCACTACACCAAAGGTATTTCACTACAGGTTCGCCTAATGTTACTATCACGATATAGATAGATCGATTGTGGGCGATATTCATTATTTCATCCCACCCTTCATTACGTAGCTGAAATTCTACTCCTGACTGTTGCTGCTACCTTGACGTGGTTGTCGGGCTTGTCTATCGTAATGAACCGATCGAGCTATACTGGTTGAAACAATCGTTCCTGAAGGTCATACCATGCCAGGCAGGTCGGTTGAAGAGCGGTAAAACTGGTAGGAGATCAATTGCCGAAAATTTACACGACGATAACGTTATTTCCATCGGTAGGTCTATGATGGAATTGAACAAAAATTAGATAGTGGGCAACCCTGTCGGCCACCACTTGAGGTTTCAAAATCAGATGATAGTCCTCCATAAGCTCCTACTCGACTGGTAGTGTTCGAGCAAAGAGTCTTGACAAAATTCATGTACTACTGGTGAAATTCTATTCTTTAAACTTCTCTCTTGAAAAATTTCGCAGGATTACAATCCACTTCTTTGGAAACGAAACACTTACCTATCATTTTGACAAATTATAGTTGCTTTTCAAGTATTAATCTATCCAGTCAATTGTATCGTACAACTGACTGGTCACTACGATAATGACAGTGATATGGAGGATCCATCTAGGGCAATTGGAAAACCCTGGCTCCTAACTAATGGTACACATGGGCTCCAGGATCCTGAGGGAACCTATTATCATTAATAACTGCTACTGGCCTCATTGTTATTATTTGGTGCCCCCTTGTATTAATGTTTGTGCGTTCAAATAATAATAATATAGCAGTGATTTACTTGGTCTACAAAAGTAGTAAGCCTAAATCCATTAAGAACGTTTCTAACATGTCATGGGACATCACATTCAATTATCTTTGATAATTGTAATTGAATTGTATATGAACACAATGATTCTACAAAATACTCATTTTTTATTTCAATTAATTATTCCCACTCATTCTTTTTTTCCTCGTTTATTCTTCCAGTTATCATTAAAATCACGTACAATGGATGTACATCCTTGTGTTCAATTGGCATTCGATGAAATTTTAAATCATTGATTATTATTTATTCTCTTATAATTATTTACTACAACTAATAATTAGCTTGATCATTTCTTTTCTCTACTGACAATAATAATACTACTACTAGGTACTACTAATTTCAATCGTTAACTGTGTGTTTTTTTTTAATGTGGTGTACACACAAGTTTAAGTTTATTTTGTTCTAGCATTCGGGATTTCAAAAGAAAGTACCTGTGGTTTTATTGTGTGTGCGTGTGTGTGTTGTTATTTCATTTTATCAATTGTTGTTGATTACTTTTATTTATTCATTTCATTCCATTTATCTTTTGCATAGTTATATCCATACTTACTATGTGATTCCAACTCAATTATCATATCACAATTGTTGTGCACTGTTTATCATTCACTGCTCATATTCAAATTGATTTAAATAAATATGTTTAAATTGTAATAATTGTTGTTATTCATGGACAGCACCACATCATTTTTTTATTATGCTATATTGGTGATACTCTGTTGATTTCGACCATCGGATTTTAGTCAGAGGGTTATAGGCTCTTCGATATCGCTCCATCTACTTGGAGTTTGTTATGACTACCATTATCTGCCAAGTATGAGTGCTGCATATAGTTCTCAGTATAGAAGTTTGTAATTTGATTATCTATTCACGCTACTGTTTTATGACTCAGAAAACTAGGTAACTTTTGAAGGTGTTTTGTTCCTTAACGTGGTTAGTTTAGTCATGAAGCTTTCATTATCTTGCTAAGAAATATCAGTAATCTCAAATTTATTTCACTGTATTATACTCTTTAAATAACATCTCCAAACACTAATCTTCCCGATTACTGCTTATACTCTTATTACCTCTACCACTACGGGATTTGAATCGACCACTGCATCTCTATGCTAATGTGGTGTGGCAACTCGAACTGATGTACGTACGTACGAAGTTCTACGTTGTTACTGACTGACTGATCAGTAATCTCTGGGTGATATTTCGTAAATACTTTCATTAGGAATGTGTACTGTTGGATATCAGTGAAGATGATCTTATTTAAGTGCTGTCATCATAATAAATAATTATCTCGCGGCTTTCCTAGGACTGTTAAATGTAAACGGCTAAGTGTAATGAATTATTGTCACCTTTTTCATCCCATTTTGTTATTAAATTGAGACATGAAGTACTGACAAAGCTCCAATAAACGGTAATTTTACAAGTTGTATACTGTTTTTCCCGATATTTAACACAAAAAGTGTCTCACTACCTCTGGAGAAGTTATCGTAGCTACTTAAGCTGTAATTTTATTTTATGCCACTGAACATTGTCATCTCGTTAGCTCATTTGTACCGATGATGCTAAGCGCATTTATATGACATGGCAGCGTGTGATTGTTGTTAACAATAGGAAGTTGTCTGAAGTTTTTCTTGTGGCTAAGTGACTTGTGAATGCTCACTTCAACTACATGTATAAATATGCATATATATTGAAACAAATATCTTCGTTTTAATTAACCTAGGAACTTTTAAACCGTGTGAATATGTTTGTTTCCCGACAAATTGTATATGCAAACTAAATAAGTTGGTTGTCATTATATGACTTATCTACTATTAAGCATAGTAAAGGAAAACTGGTACCATATCACTTAGAGTTGTGTTTACTTCAAAATTAGCATTGGACATTTAATCATAATCTACCTTCCAACTTACTAGTAAAGCTAAATTCTCGATACGAACTGGAAGAAAAGACTTGTTCTTATTGCTTTGTATGAGCCATAACGTTAAGTAATCTATCTTCTTTTTGAAGGCTGTAGTGTTTATCGGAACTTTTTCTATCAACCGATTATGTGGTTAGGGCTTCCTGTAGTATAAATACAATATGCCGGGAGAAATTCCTTCTCTGTGTACAGTTAAATTTGACAACTTTGAGTCTCATTTTGTTAACTCGAGAGAAATAATCTCACCTGTTGTTCACTTTCTTCCTTAAACATGGTAAAATCATCCGCTTTGTGAAAAGTATATATTAGCTGTTCACTACGTGAAACGTGCATCCAACATGTATATGAGCACAAAGTGTCTAATGATGTTTTATCAGCTCTTCTCAGTTCATCGAAATCATACTGCTTAACAATAATTTGAGTAAAAATGCTGGTTACTCTGAAACTAGTGTTTCTGGGACTTGCAAAGTCACGAATCCTATTTGCCACTGGGCTCCTTGGATAAGTGTACAGGCAGTCGATAACTCAAAGACGTATTGTGTAACTTCATCGATATATCACTTGATGATTTATTGAGTATATAGTTTGGAAGGCCTCCATAAAATTGCTCAAATAGAAATTCGTGCTATGACTTGTCCAGCTTCAAAATGGATCTCCTGAAGTTAAAGTAAAAAAACAAGCTGTAGTGCCAGACGAATAAAATGCCAATCAAAAAACTAACTAGTGACATTGAGTTAGAATCGTAAATTGACTGAAGTTCAGAATGTGGATTATTGAATTCTGACTTCACCACACGTGTATAGCGCTCCTCAAAAAACCTGAAGGTTATGGGTTCTATCAGATTGATATATATTGCTGTGTAGTGGTTCCAAAACCAGAACTAAAAGAGTCATTAAATACTTCCTAGTTCTCGATGGTTCTGCTAATGTTAACTGACAATTAAGATCACCCTCCATAAATCACTGCAGTTTCCAAATATTTACTCCTATAAAGAGTTCATTATTTAACTTATGATCAAATCCCTGTATATTTCTATCCAAATAAATAAATTAACACAATATAAAACGATAATCGAAATATTTATTTTTGTTTCAATAAAATTCCCTGATAAAGATTACTTGATTAAAGTAGCAGATTATGAGTTAATTTTAAACAACAGGATGGAAGAGAAAATTGGCTAAACCAAACAAAAGAAAGTTCAATATGTATATATTAAATAATGATAATAATAGTAGTATAAACCCAGTAGGTGTAGATTAAATGATGCACATGAAGTGATAACAGGATATACTTCAAATAACATACATCTGTATGGTAATATAATTGACTATATCCATTTGTATGTGGATCCTCATGAAATATACTTACATGACTCACCATAGAAAAAGAAAAGTAATGGGAAAATGAAGTTGAAACACTATTTTACTTCATCAAAATAAAATATTCACTTGACTGTTTATTGAATAAATATAAAAGCTGCCATTTTTCTTACATCTAAATTATATACCACACCGGGTTTTCACATTTTTGTTCTCTTGTAGCACAGAAAAAAGAAACAATAATAAATATATATTTGTAAAGTATATATTACTTATTTCATAAACCTGAGATTTTAATTGCACACAATAATATTGATTATTCAATGTTTTATCATGGATTTATATTCAATGTTAAATTCCTTTTTTGTTTTAATATTATGATGTAACTATTGGAAATGATCTCCGATTCAAATGTTGTAATTCATTTAATTGAAATAATTGAATATATAAATCAGAAAATGGTAAATAATTATTTTTATATTTAAGTATTTTTAATATTTCTTGATGTTCTTTATTCATTCTATCTAAATTATGTTTAATAGACATTATTTTATAAAAACGTTTCTCTGAATTGAACTGATCTAAAACAGAGATGAAAAACAAAACAAATGAAAATTCTTTTATAAAGAATAATATCTATGTAATGAGAAACAATCAAAATTAATTCATACTCATTCCCACTCCCGAGGGAAGTCCTACTCACTATCTTCTCTTGACTGGATGTTGTTCACGAAATTGAGAAGACGAAAAGCTAATGTTCGACGCTTTAACCGGGTTGGTGGATATAGAGGGTCCACCTAGGTCAGTTGAGAAACCCTGATACCAAACCAATGGTGCACATGAGCTCCAGTATCCTGAGGGAACAAATGGAGTATGAACCAATTATTGATCACCGGACACCATTGGACTGCATTTCCTGACATTGCTCCACTGCCTTGTGGATCAAACATTTAGGTGGAAGGCTCCGGGTGTGGCCCCTTTAAGCAAACCATCTGCTTCGGTCTGGACACCCGGGCAGTATCATGGCCCACACACAAATCAAGTGACTTGTATGGCGCATATGTATTTGGTGCCCCTTTGTACCAATATTTATGTGTTTAAATAAATAATAATCCTACTATATTAGATCATAGTTATGCCCATAACTAACCAATCAAATCGCTGCTTGGACGCCCATTACGTCAACCTGACCTGATGTCTCTGTAGACTGTCTCTGTTGCATGTAACCTGCCAATTGGAGGACATTATTATTTTATCATATTAGTGTGACTGCATCTCATACTTTTTTTCTTTATTCATTTCCATAACACACGCAATACTGGTCGAATCAGAAAAGTTTAAAACCAATTTGCCCTTGTTCTGACTATAGGTTTCATATAGACTCTGAATCGTCAGTATCGCGTTTACAGTTGCGATAGAATATCTGTAGGACAAATCAAATCCTATACGAGACATGTCGATTACATAGCAGTAAGATTATAAGCAATAAAATTAAAGTCCAAATGTGAAATTGTACTGACGACCACTTAGGGATATGACTACAGTAACGTCTATCATTCAGGAAACCAGTAACTGAACGAGAGGGCTGAGAATACTTGCACACCTCAACTTGCCCCACAAATTTTCACCCCGGTGGTAATATCTGAAAAACTCAAAAAACACATGTATGATCAGCCTGTCCCTGAGCTCTGTGGTCACTCTCTCAGGTAGCTAGGATCATTCTTAATCCAGTTTTCTTTTCACTTCTTTCAAGGAGTACCATTCCATAGTGTAGGGAATGGGGGAAGTTATAACTACCTACATACCTCTGAGAATTCTCAAGACCACCTGAACATTCGTGTGACTGAAATAGATAGTGTGATTTCGCTAGTAATTTACTTTGCCCAGTCATCCGATTTAAACGTCTATTCAAGAATTACGATTGTTGTTATGATTGATTTTCATTGAGATTTCTAGGTTAACATTGAGATGACCAAATCAACAATTCACTCATGTAGCTGACTTCCATACACCAAATAAATAGATTTTAGAAGATACAACTTATATTCAACTAGAGAAGTAAAACTGTTCGTTATATAAAAAATATTTAGCCAAGATGTGACAATTAGTTACTTCTCATATAACAAGCAACTGATCTGTGGTGAAAATACAAATTTATAAACGACCATAACAAAGTATAAATTTATTTCATATATGTTAAGTTTAATTGATTTTCTATAATTCAAAGGTACACAGCTAATTCCTTATTTTTGTCAAGATTACAGTATAATAAGAACGAAATGGTAGGCATTAATTTGTTAAAAACAAAAAAAACGTCACATTCATGTCATACTTGTCTAAATGAGTAAACACTTTTTAAATGTTCCTACTGGATAAACCCAATCAATATTGAAATAAATCATTTTCCATTGTTAGAAATAAATCAATATATTTGTAATATCCCAATGAGTAGAAAAATTAAATTTTCCGAAGTTAGATCCTGGGTTCGAATCTCGTGAGGTAGGTCTGTGGATGCGCACTGCTAAGGAGTCCCATACTATTTTCTGAAAAAGTGACTTATACTGAGTCACGAAGCGTCAGAAAATTTAATTTTGCTACTCACTGGGTTATTACAAATATATTAATTTATTTATAACAATCTACCAAATGATCAATTCATTCGAAATTATCAAGTCAAACCTTGGTAATAATATCTTCAAACTCATTTTCCATTGTGTTTTCTAATTCTATGCAAACAAACATTAAAAATAAAGAGGTCCAAGCTTGAACCAGATTGCTAGATGAAACGTTGGATTTACTTCAAATTCTTTCGCTGATATTTTACAAATACATTCTTCCTCTTTAATGTCTCACATCAATTCGGCGCCCAAATACTCTGAAACTATTCGATCAAACATTGACAGTGTTCAATTTCCATAGCTATTTTAATAGTTTATTCATTGATCTCTTCCTTTACTCACAGTTTAATTGCAATCACTTCCCATTGTTATTTCTTTATTACCCTTATCTCCTCTTATCCTCCATTTCTAGTCTAGTTGATCTTTTATTTTTACATATAAATGTTCTTAAGAAGTGTATGATGTGTGACTAGATTATTCGAAATGTATTGCGCTAATACATCATCATCATCATATAGTTCTGAGAATTTTCACTTTATTATACTATCGAAATTTATCAGAGACTAAATGCTTTTAACGTGTTATTGAAGTTTAACTTCAGAGATGCTAATTTTATGAAAAGTTTGTGTTATGTCCCGATAAGCATAATGAATGGTAACTTTTGGGATCCATATATGGACAAATACTATACGTAATATATTTTATCGTATCATTGTTAAATAACTAAAATATACATATTCATGTCCCTCTTATTTTGAGCTTTATTTTGACCTATGAACTGTTATTATACCATTTGCCATTCTTAAATTATGCCCTGTCTATTAATTACTATCTCCCACACTCACAGCCACTTTTGGCTAAATCTTGTACAAATGTTGTTTCCTATTTTATGGTACGATGTGGTTTGTCTGGTTGGTGTATAAACCCAGTATGTTTGAAATGAATAATTCATATTTAAGAGGCTGGGATTGGTGTTCTAGTCTTAACTGACTGGGCTAGGCAGGAAGCAGGACCGATAAGTACTCTAGATTGCTCGTACGGGTTTTATTCATCATTGGTCCGATCGATAATTCACTGCTCTCTAGTTGGCGGTATCATTACGTGATACATTAGCAGGGCACTCAGGCCACAAGTTATAACAGTTTGAGATTCTAAATTTTTATGAATAAATAATACTGTATTTTTATTACTACAAAAGAAACAAACAAAATACTCAAATATTCTTACTTGTTTCATATTCTTTTAATAATTGAAGAATTGTTTGATAAGTTTCATATACTTTTATTGGTTCATTCAAACATTTTCCATCTGTACAATTAAAGTAGTGTAGATGAAATACCAAAAAAAATGTATTACAAACCAAAACCAGTGAAAATATTTCTTATTACGAAATGGCAAGACTATCATTTATGGACAAACCAATCACGTATAAGATAACAGGTTTCGGGTTTTTTTGCGCGAAATGCATTCATTCGAATAAATAGAGTTTTGGCATTATAGCTGATGTCAGTTCGTGATGAAGACCCTAAATCTAATTTCTAACCTTAATCATCAACCGTAAATCGTAATTCTAATTCCTCACACAGGTTTATAACTCTCATTTAGTCCTGGTTATTAAGTGAACACTCTCAATGTCAGTCTAGCATCTCTCAAAGGTCGTCTATAAATTAGTCTCACCTCCGAAATTTATGAATTGTTGAATGTATATTTCGTTCTATTCTACGAAATACTTAAACAACTCCTACGTTTTTGGAGCAACGTCTTAGTGATTGATGTATTTAATGTATTTGGTCAAGCCCGAAACCTTCCCTGCTTATTTTAATTTGACCAATCGGGAAGCAAAATTATCCCTTACATAAAATCTGGGAGAATATTTCATGTAGGTTAGATAACTGCACTTGGACGTTTGACGATTACTATCAAGTGATCAATCTGTTCAAACATTATAGTCCTATAATATAAGGTTAGTTGCTGTCTGAATACCTCAGTGATAATATCTCTGATTGTGACCCGTGTTTGAATAATGTGGGGTGCACCAATTTGCCTAAGATTACAGATAATCCAAGGTGAAGAGTATTAGCTCATAAAAGGGAAAGCCCAAAACCTCATAATGATTGACCATTCAACGTCATTAAAGTACACCTCAGTCTCAAGTCACTTAGCCTAACACCCTGATATTTCGATTTGATCGATAGAATTTGACCATTACTCAGGACCATAATAAACATGTTAGTAATTATTACTAAATAATCAATTAACGCAAATATTTAATGGTCACTAGATTAAGGTGAAGAGGTTTTGTGAGGATTATTTTAATTTTTAGGTTGTACTCCTTGAAGACTTACCTCAACTAGGGTACCATTAAGATCAGGGAGTACTGAATAACCGTTTTGTTCAAATTTCGTACTATTCAGTGACCTACATTAAAATATTCCTGAAGCTTTAGTGACAAGTTGTGACCAGTAGAGTAAAAACGTATTGAGAATGAAATAGTCATCACAAATGGATTATCATCTAACTGTATCGCAGACTGATTATAGTTAGACATTGATAGAGTAGTCCTAAATGGTAAATGCTTTCAATGAGACCTAAAAATTTTGGGTTACATTCCTGGTGGAAACGTCGGTAGGTACTGTTGAAAGGTCTCATACTAGAACCAAACAGCCGTCCAGTATACCATAATTTTCTTTGGTACACCAAATAAGATAAATTCATAATGAACACAACTTGTGAAATCACTAGATTTGGTTAATCTTAATGTAGTAATTTCAGAAACAATAATAACTAATCAACAGTCTTATCATCAACTAACCTCCGTGAAATAATTCAACGCAGCATAATAAACCAATTTCTGTTTCATTTAAATTTAATGATTTCAATAATTTGTTTGTTAAATTAATTTGTTCAAATAATATTTTACACACTGAGAATTGATTTATCAAGCTTGTTTGACTTTGAATATTCAAATAAAAAGATTCCTTTGTTTTATTATTACTGAAATCTTGAGATAATTGAATTAAAATAATTGGATAGATACTTTGTTGAATTAAAATTTTCATATCATACTCTGAAAGTTCTTGGAAACTAGGAATAGATTGGGCAAATTGAATAATTTCATAAATATGACTTTCAAAATATTTCATTAAACTGTGCCATAGAATTTCTGGATTCTGTTTAGTTTCATCTAAGAAGTGTAGATTTTCAGGTAACTTGAATAAAAGAACATATACATATTATTTTTACGGTATTATGGTTTAAAAATTGAACTGACCAATCCAGAAAACAAATGGAAAAAAAGGTTATTGAATATATGATTTCAGTGCTTCTCTCTCAACTCGATATCAGTTCATGACAAGAATTTACATCCTAGTTAAACTGTCTCGGTAAACAATAATTACCTGTCCGTCGTCAGTGGATTTCCCAAATTTGTAATGTGATTTTAAGTATTTATCACTCCTAGTATATGACAGAAAAGTCGACTCATTATATTCAGTGGTTATTAACGGGAATAAATAACTTGAATAAACAATTACTTGTTATGACCTTTTATTATTTGATTTTTTCCTTGAAATGTTTGGATTCATCGATTAAAATGTATTTTGTCGGAAGACTACAAATCTGCTTCAATTTCGGCATATTTTATCATTTGTAACTAACCGATTCACTTTTTGGAATTACTGGTGTTTTTCACATTAATGTCTGTTTACATCTGTTCATGTACTAACTACTATCTTTCACACTTTTATGTTGTGCATTTAATTTACACAATATTTTGTTGATAGACGCATATTTAAACTTCTTAACAATTCGTGAAGTTTATACTACTTACTTTATATTAAGTAGTATATTTTTATTAGACAAAATATTCTGGAGTAAGATTTAAAAATATTCCAGCAAAAGAATAAAAATAATTATCCCTTCGCTGGAATACCTTTAAGTCTTCAATGACACAAGGACTTTCTTTCGATATTTTCAATCACTTTAAAATTATATTATTTTACATTTCGAACTTACTTTACACTGACAATGAAGTAACTGAAATGCAGCATTTCTAATATTCCGAAGAAGCTCATCGTTTCGAGTAGACTGATTATTTAACCTTAATAGGTGTATTGTTTCATTGCATTCATTTGTAATGTTAGAAGATTGCAAATGCACGGATGAATTATGATTTGAATGTAAATTTGATTCATTGTGTTCATCTGAATTATCATCAGTATATTTGTTGGTCATATAAAAATCCAGGTAATTTGATGTGTTCAATATATCATTTGCTATTGGAATTAACTGTGATGATGACATTCTTGAAAATGTCAAATTATTATTTACAGATGTATTAGTTATTGTATCATTATTGATATTATTATTATTACTATAAGTTGATTCATATTCATTATTACAAACCATTCCGTACATATCATTTGAAGTATTATAAGAATAATGAGCTTTGATCGAATCAATGCTAGGAATTTCTTCTATACATTTATTCAAACTTGAATAAGTAGTAATATTAGTTGATTTTAACTGTTCCATCATGAATTCTTTATCTACATCAATTTTCTCTAATAAATTTAATAATCGAGGTTGCTGTTGTTGATCATATTGCTTTTGATTAGGACCAATTGATCTATTATTAATTTGATCATCTTCATAAGTAGACAATTGATTATCAATAATTATAATTGGTGATTCTAATAAACTACTACTACTACCACTAGTTTGTCTATATTTCATTCGATTTCTTTCATCATTATCACCTAATTCATATGTGTATTCATAATCTTTTTTGTTTGAATATATTGGGAAATCAGTTTTATCTTGTGATATATTTAATTGATACGTTGATGGTGTTATCAATGATTCTGTTGAATCATTAAATATTGGTTTATTATAAGTTGTATATAGTTTTGAATTTTTAGGCATATGGATCCGCTGAAAAACAGAAAAAAGATATGCAGTACGAGATTATAAGTAAAATTAGGTGGTATTACCTATTTGTCATATGATCTTAGAAGTGTAATCAGTAGTATTACTTAAACGTTGGATGAATTTTAATAGATAAATGATTGTAGGTAGTTGACAGAAAAACTTTGACTTACTAATATTTATATTAGTATAAAAGTATCCTAACATAAGTGCTAAGATATTTCATATATACACTGTAAAACTGACCTGTTGAACGCTAATGAAATCTAGTCTATCGATATAGAAACTTTATTACCGACAAACCTATTAGAATGTTACACCCCCCCCCCATTTTAACTGATACAGATAAACCTGGAATATCAGAGGACTAAGTGAACTAGTCGAACAAAATCCTTAAAAATCATCTATGAGCAGAATGGGTTTTGTGGAGATTTTAGAAATTTCACAGATTGAAATCATGAGTCAGTTGAAGCTAGACCACCATTGAAAACCTGGAAGCACTGGACGGCCGTTTCGTCCTAGTATGGGACTCCTCAGCAGTGCCTCAGAGTCCCATACTAGGACGAAACGGCCGTCCAGTGCTTCCAGGTTTTCAATGGTGGTCTAGCTTCAACTGACTCATGATTTCAATCATCTATGAGCATTATTCAGATATGAAAACAATGAAAATTAATGTTAAAACTGTTCACAACACTGAGCTTTGAAATTAATATCAACCAAAAAACTTTGATGTCTATCAAAGGATCTTGTGACTGAAGTTTGTTTTTCGAACAGAGTAATATTTTAAGGATTTCCTTAGTCAAAATCCATTACTGTCTTTAGGCTAAATGACATGGCTGATAAGTTTAATGTATTCAAATAGTAGTCGAAACATCGTCCCACTATTTCAGCATCATAAGTGAGTTAAGTAAAATTGTTTGTTCTGACTTCGGAACAGAAAAACTAAGCGGCAAATAACGAATCATAATAAACAAGGAATAAGAACAAATCACGAGATAACAGTAATTAATGTTTAGTGATAACATGTAAATTATTAAAAATGAACGGGTGATTGGTAAAATAACCACCTGAACACGCTATTCCATAGACTAAGGTGGTTATATGTAGTCAGATGGAAATATTCTGATGGTATTCATCTACGAAAAACAACTTACAACTAAAAGAACATAAATCCGCTGTATTATTTAGATTATTGTTAGTACCCTAATAGGTAATAATATCAGTCGACAATTAATCACTTCATTATAATGTTATTGAATCACAAGCATCCTAGGTCAAAGTAACCTTGATTAACTTAGCGCAACACAGTAAACCCAACCACAAAATATCAAGTGAGGAGTCACGATCAAGACAGATGAGAATGACTAGAATGTCACTGATAATTTTGTCCTCAATTAAGCTTACCTCAAAGGTTACCCTCTTTAAGATCACCGACATCACATTGACCACTAAAGGACCTGACCATCCTGATGGGGGACCTAAAAGGTATCAAAGAACCACTAACTTCGACGTGTCAGGAGGTTCTGAGTCGCAACAAGCATAATCATAGGGAATGGATACCTATCGATACTCTGGACAATGTCAAGAAAGGAAGAACAAGAAGACAGCAATTAACAACAACCGAACAAGAACAGAGAAACTCAAGGCACAAGGTGAATACATTGAAGAAAACAAACAAGTGAAGAGGAGCATTAAATTTGACAAGCAGAAATACGTAGAAGCTCTAGCAACGACAACAAAAAATCTGCAAGACAAAGAAATATAAAACAACTACCTGACACAACGAAGAAACTGGCAGGAATATATCGTAAACTAGAGAGACCAGTCAAGGGAAAAGAAGGCAAGCCAATCACCGAAACTCAAGAACAGAGGAACAGATGGATGGAATACTTCGAATAACTCTTGAATTGACCAGCTCCTTTGAATGCATGGGAGTGAGAAAGCAGCAGGACCTGAAAATATACCAGCTGAAGCACTGAAGTCAGAAATGAAAGTAACTGCAAACATGCTCGACGTTCTATTCAGGAAGACTTGGGAGGAAGAACAAGTGCCGACGTACTGGAAAGAAGGATAACTCATGAAGATACCAAAGAAAGGAGGTTTGAGCAAATATGAGAACTACAGAGGCATCACACTACTATCAGTAACGGGAAACGTTTTTATTGGAGCGTTGGTGAATTGGATAAAAGATTCGGTAGACTCACAGCTTCGAGATCAACAGGCTGAATTCCGTAAGGGTCGGTTATGGAAAGACCAAATCCCGACATTACGGACCATCGTTGAACAATCAATTAAATGGGACTCGTCACTACACATCAAATTCCTTGATTATGAGAGAGCATTTAAAAGTGTTTCTAGGAGAGTCTCATAAAACCCTCTTCAACACTATGGTGTACCTCAGAATACCATCAATATTATCCGGAATTCATACGACGGACTACATTACAAAGTCGTACATGAAGGCCAACTGACAGACCCATTCAAAGTCAAGACCGGAGTCAGACAAGACTGCTTACTCCCGCCCTTCCCCTTTCTTTTGGTGGTTGATTAGATTATGAAGACCTCGACATCTGACGAGAAGCACGGAATACAATGGTTAGCGTGGATGCAACTGGATGGTTTTTACATTGCAAACCACCCAGCTCTTCTATCCCATATTAATCAACAAATGCAAGTCAAGACAAACAGTGTAGCAGCAGCTCCTGCATCCGTAGGCCCCAGCATACAGAAGAGAGAAAGCGCGATCGTCAAATACAACACGGAGAACACCAACACAATCACACTTCATGAAGAAACCCTGGAACATATGGGAACATTCACGTATCTGGACAGCATCATCGATGAACGTGGAGGATATGATGCAGAAGTAAAGGTAAGGATTGGTAAAGCAAAGACAGAATTCTCAAGTTGAAGAACATATGGAACTCAAAACAACTGTCAACCAATATCCAAGTCAGAATCTTCATTACGAACGTCAAGACAGTTAGTTCCATTGTACGGAGCCGAAATTCGGAAAGCTATCACAACCATCCTCAAATAAGTACAAATATTTATAAACAATTGTCTACGCAAGATACTCAATGTCCGTTGACCGGATACTATCAGCAACAGCCTACTACTATGGGAGAGAACAAACCAGCTATCAGCTTAAGAGGAAATTAAGAAACGATACTGTAAGTGAATAAAACAAACATTACGAAAATCACCAAATTGCATCACGAAGCAAGCACTAACTTGGAATCCTGAAGGGAAATGGAAAAGAGGAAGATCAACGGATGAATGGCAATTGGAAACAACTGGAAAGGATTGTCCAGGACAGAGTTTGATGTAGAATGTTAGTGGATGGCTTATAGCTCCTCCACGATGAGTAAGAGGTGTAAGTAAGTAAGTAAGTAATACCATATTGCTAGCCATAAAAAAAGAACAGCAAATGTAACTTTTAATTATTGTCTAATATTTAGTTAAATCACTCGAAAAAATTTACCTTCCTTCGTAGACTTATATTATCTGTCCATTCAGATGACATATTAGATGTCATAGCTTGGTTTTCATTCCCTATAACATCCTCTTGTTTAAGTGAATTATTATTAGAGGAATAATTGTTTATTGAATCATCTTTGATGACTTTATGTAGTCTAGATGTAGTGAAATTTTCTAAAATACTATCAGTATTATTCATCTGTTGATATTTATCTACATTAAATTGAAATAATAACTTTGAAGTTTGACAATTATCTTCTTGATAACTTGTTTGATTGCATAATTTCGGTTTAACTGAAACCGATGTATGATATCGATTTAAAAAAGATTTTGATGGTGAATAATAATATTGGCTACTACCTGAGGAAGTGAATGATGAATGTAGATTTTTAAATAAACATCGTTTATTTTGAACTAGTGTATTATCATTATTGTAAATATTATTACTGTCAGTATTATTATTCATAACAACAATAGGAGAAGTATTCAATTGTTTAATAGTAGGCAATGAACATAGATCTTGACATTCTTCTTCATAAATATTAGTTAAATAATTTTCATTCTGTACATCATTATATTCAGTTATGATTGTTGAATTAGAAAATTTATTACAATCATTATGATTTAAATGATGAAATATTGGTTTATTATGATCTTGTTCAGTTAATTCATATGAATCATTCGATTGTTGTTTATCAATATTGATTGAATGATGTATTGGAAAATCTTTTTCATGTTGACTATAGAATTGTGCTGCTCTAGACAAATTTATTAAACCAATTGACGAATAATTATTATTTATTAATTCATTAAATTCTTTTTGTTTATTTAAACAATCTACACGTTCTGACATTGATTTTGTTGCCATAATAGTAGTATTCATTGCCGGTGGTGGTTGTGGTGGTGGAAGATGAGGTGATGTTCCTGTTGCAACTAAAATCATTGCTTCAGAATTAGTCGAAGTTGAGGATAGTTGTGATGTGGGATTAACGATGAATTCATCATCCTGACTAGATAAACAATTATTTTCACAGAATTGTATTTTATTTGATACTTGATGACAAATTGTTTGAACATGTACTGAAGGTGTACAATGTTGATATAACGATGTAAAATCTACTTTTGACGGTATTGTTAGATTATTATCATTATCACTTAATTCATGTAATTCATTACCTTGTTCTGTAAGTTTTACATTGATATTTGATTCTATAGTTGACAACTGTTGATAAGGTGCTGTAATTAAATGTGTCGAATCTGTAGTTTTTATGGTGGATTGATTTAAGCAGTTCTGGTTTGAAATCATACTCTCTTTGCTATTATTATTATTATCATTAATTTTATATTCATAATGGTCTTGATTTAATGAATCATTCAGTTTATGTAATGAATTATTTATTGGGGATAATAAATTATATGATGAATGGTAATTTGAAATTACTGGACAATTGGATTTCGAATATTGTTTAGAATATACAGTTGAATTGGATACTGCTGATCGAATTTGTTCAATTTCAACGGCACAACGATGTTTAATGGCATTAGGTTGACGACCAATACGACTGCCTGGAAAAAGTTTATATGAGAATTTAAAAAAAATAATTATATCAAAATTAACTAAATGAATGTTAAGTGTTTATGGAGGATTGTTTAATTTAGGTCTATTTTCATGATAGGCTAACAGTGGCTGATTGAGTCACATCATTAAGATTCTTTTAAGTTATAAGTGTAAGCCATTGAATTTCGAATCAATAGTCTACGAGAATTACACTTTTCTAAAGATTTGAAGGTTCTGAATATAATCATGTGTGGTCATGAGTCCTTACAGTTGACGAGTCTAACTAGAAAGATACGATAGTTCGTTTATTGTTAATCTTTATGTTAGATGCTGGACAAGAATCTTTCTGTGAAGTCACTTCTGTAATGAACAGAAGTTATAATGCGATTCTTCTTCACAAGAACTGAGTACATGCTTCTTAGACCCAGTCTTCCACTCCTAATAAGTCGGTAGTGATACTGACAGCTCTATATCCCAACTACTTCAATGTAGTTCAACAGCAAATGTGGTGGTCGATTATAGGTTAAAATACTACAATGAACAGGGAATTATACGAGGAAATTTCACGAGGATTTCTAGTTCAATCCATTAATAACTAGATCATCACGATGACTCTCTCACTGTATCAATGGTTCCCAGTCAATTTACACTATTTCTAGAGAAACACGCGTAAAAATATACATACAATGTTTTCCACCTAATATAAATCCATAGTGAAGATTGAATACCAACCAAAATAAGTAATCATATACCGAGATTAAACAAACTCAAACATTACAATAATCTAAATAATGGAAATTATTACATAAATCGCGTTAATCACCGCATAAACGGAATGATCCATTTAATACACTCATTGAAGACAAAACTATTTTCGGTTCAAAACGATTTCCCATAACTTATCTCTATTATGTGCAATCAAATTACTTGTCATTTATGAGCTTATTAAATTCTAAATACCGCGGAATTTTCTTTAAAATAATACTACTTTATGAATAGCATAAACATGTATATCTGATAGTTAATATCGTTTTGAATTTTCTTTTACATTTGAAGTCAACTTAATGAGAATAAAAATATCATCTATGTGAACATTGTTGTATCAACTGACATATCTCATTTTACTTTCGTATAAAGAGGATAGCCAAATGTATTTGAATACAAAATTACAGAATCTCTTAGTAAAATTTAAAAACCATAAAGTAAATACTTCATATGCAAAATATCCATCAATTGTTTTAGATGTTGCTGTTCCATAGTTTCAATACCAATTACTCTCTGTTATAGTTCTCTTCTCTTCGATTTCCTGTAACTTCTGCCGCCGGGCATTTTAATTTTGATTGGTGATACATACTACCTATATCTGTCGATATCAGTAGCATACACCACAATACTACTACTCTATCATTGACATCTAAATATAACTGTATTACTGTGGATAATCAGAATAGTGTGTATGTACTCACCATGTTTTGACATGCCAACAGCTAAACATCTACGGTATCGACAACTTTTACAATTATTTCTTGTAGCACCGGTAACAGCACAATTACCTCCATTTCTGCAAGTGTAGCGTTGACTTTCTCGTTCATTAATTGTTCGTCGAAAGAAACCCTTAAAGTAAGTTTGTTTTAAAAGACAAATAAAAATTAATTAATTTGGAATAGTCTGTAAATGGTTTTAAAGCTGCAGATTAATGAATTTGATAGTGAAGTAGTACATATTAAACAGTTACCAAAGCTTTATTCCACCATTGTGATTATGGTCTTGGCGTCAAAGGTAGAAGTTGACTCTTTTTCTGACCTACAAACGATTCTCTAAGAACATCAAGGTGAAGACTTTTACTCTCGAAATGTTGTCTGTGAATTCTAGATTCTCCAATCTCGGAATAAGCATGTATCTCATTCTTTTTTCATAACAGTTTTCCTAATCAGTAAACATTTTAAGCGTATTTGCTTCACAATTTCTAATTAACCGATACCCTCTTTTTCTAGATTAACCAAATACTAGTCACTTTATAGACACTTGGTAAAATAAGCTTACTCATCATCGCAATGAAAGTCATGTAGAATGTTTTCCTAATTTAAACAGAAACTTAAGATCGCCTAGTGGAATGATTTAGCGATATATTGATCAACATATTTATATGATACATTCAAGAGATCATTCAAAAACCAGAAGATAAAGAAGTGCTTGGAAAAATTGTGAATAATTCCTGATACTTTGACTAGTAATACCAAACCTGATATAAGTCGGGTAAAGATCGTTAAATCCAATCGCTGGATATAGGTTTCCGTGTAGACACAACAGTCTAAATTCTTCAGTAGATTATCGTTAATTGTATATTCTCTATGATCCTTGAAACTTTGCTTATAAAATCAGATAATATCCAATCCCCCTCCCGCCACTTCCAATATTTCTTATTCTTATATTTTCATTTCCCTAAAAACTCTTTTCTACAGATGTTCTTCATCAGATTTGTAAAGGACTTTCTAATAAAAACTTAATGCTTCGTTAAAAAACAACATTTTACAGCAGACATTCAGTATCATGAAATCAATAAAATGGAATAATTAAACAAACTAATTGTTTATTAATTAAATTTTGATTGTCCTTCCATGCTTTTGTTTATCTGTAAATTTATGTAAAATAATTTATTGGATTCTGTTGATGATGTATGTTTGGCTTTTCTTAAGAATCAAATCTTGTGGAATCAAATTACTGTCACCTATCGGGCTGATTTGAAACATATGCATTTAGTAAAATAATAATAACAATAATAATGTTATGAAATCACTATTTAATGTTGAGCTTTAAATAAATGTAAGTATTCTCTTAGTAGATAATTATTTCTGCTTTAAATGCATCAGATTGTTTTTTAAATAGTTGAGATCATTAGTCAATTGAAGCTAGACCGCCATGGAAAACCTGGAAGCATTAAACGGCCGTTTCGTCCTATTGTGGGACTCTTCAGCAGTGCACATCCACGGTCCCGCCTCGCGAGCTTCAAACGTAGGACCTATCGGTCTCGCGCACGAACTACTAACCTTTAGAGCTCTGAGCCGGCCGGCATCCAACGGTGTTAATATCTAACTTCAAATAATCCACGAAATTGAGCGACAAATCTACCATTGTCTTCAGTGAGTTACCATCTCACAACAGACCTGATTGAACTCCACTGGTCACTGTTTCTCACTAGAACCCCAGGAAATATCTCTTGAAGTCCGTCACTAGTGAGAATATGTTGATTAATATCAGACCAGGTTTTTCATGGCGGTCTAGCTCCAATTGATTCATGATTTCAACAATTTAAATTACTGTAATATCCACAAAAACTTATTCTAATATTCATCATATTGTATAATACGTTCAAAGTGTAAATAAATTATTGAAAACTTTTCAGAAATTTTCCTCAAAAAGTATATGGAAACAGAGGAGCTACAGAATGCTCAGAAATCTGTCGTGTTTAATTCATCTGAAGTGTAGAAATATAATTGACATTAGGGACAAATGTGTATTTTTTTTAATAGTGAGAGTTTTCATCACTGAAAATGTGTGAATGACCATGAAGTTTTCTTTTTAAAAATTAACTCGATTAATCAATCCAGATATTTATTTATCATTTACCTTACAACCCTCACATGTTATTGCACCAAAATGGAATCCAGATGATTTGGCGCCACAAACACGGCATGGTATTTCTGATATATCAGTAACTGGAAACACCGCAGCTCCTATCGATTAATGGAAAAAAGACAAAATAAATTGATTAGACTAATTTTGAATAACCTCACTTCATTAGTCAGTTATAAACGTATTAAACATACTGTCATGAACGGAAACGAATAAATCGCAATCATAATAATATTATTCCATACTTTACAGCACAAACTGATCTTAGTTAGACGACCAATGAAAACGATGAATCAATAGACAGCTGTTTTATCACAGTATAGGATAAGTAAGAGGTACCCATACACGACCCCACTTGGAACGAACTAAAGACTTTGAGGACTCGAGCCAAGCCCTTAACCTTCAGACCAAAAAGCAGGCGTCCAACTGTCTACATGTTCAATTTCAGTTAATCCATGACTTTGCTATAGAATTTTTTAATACCAGTAGTAAGTAACCGACTAACACTTGGTTTGTTTGAATTCCATTGGTCATTAGCTTCATTCTAAAACCTCAAGACCTGCTAATCGAAATTATTAATAATTGAGTAAACGATTATTATTACTATAACGTGGATTTGTGCAGATTGTCGAACTTCATCGTTTAACTAAGATCAGTCTGAGGTTTAAACTATGAAATTCAACAAACTACATAAACCTTTCTACTTCAATGGTAATACTGTTAATGAATTAATGCACCTGTCTCACAGTGATCGATTTTCAAGTCTTGTATCATTTGTAATAAGAAATCCAATAGTGAAAGAGTGTAAATTATCCACGATATAAATCCAGAATATTCTGATGGTCAATTGAATCGAATATTTCCTTACCAAAAATCGCTGTTTTAAGTAATCAGCATACAATAAAGCTGTTCAGATTGATAATGAGTTGATCATGTCAATAATATTGTGCAGACAAACCATCTTAAAATGTCATGTGTAAATTATATACAACTTTCTCAAATTTGTGATAATTAGAAGTATTTGAATTATTATACAAACTAGGAATCCCAAAAATAAAGCAAATTAGACGAAGAAGAACCAGGCAGTCATCATATACAAAGGAATCATTGGTTCATACAAGCAATCCAAAATTACTTTTTTTTTCATCACCTTAATAGAATAAATGCCAGGTATTGAAATTACACAGACCAGCTATATTTCAAGTGCTAATAATCTGTCTGATTATATAATTTGTTACACCTCATTATATTTTCACGAATGATGAGATATGCTTAAGAAAATCTTGACGGGGATTACCCTAAATAGAACAACTGAAATTCAAGAAATATTAATTATTCAGTCATAATTAATGTCGAGCTCGAAATATATCTGAGTCGGCATTAGTTGCCACACCATATTAGCACATCGAGATGATAATAACAAGATAAATGAGGTAATCGAAACCATACAAGAGTGATGATAATGTGAACGAATAAGCAACAGGAATACGGTTCGAAAAGACAAAGGTAAAAGGTATTTATGAAAGAATGCTCGAATTCTTGATGCATAAGAAGATAAGGAATCAGTGAATCTGCGCCATTCTAACAGGTATAAGCCATATCACCCATCGTCTCCAATTGGTGATCGCTTGGATCCCAACAACATGGCCCGCATCTGCTTACACGGCTCAATCCAATAGCAAATGTCTTCAGAGACCATTGCTACATTTTGCCCCCCCCCCAAAGAAACTTTCTGTCTACTTAATCCTAAAACAGTTAACATTGCCCGTTGAGACAGTTGGTTGTTAGGGATGAGTGACACATATCCAAACCACCCCAGTAGATGATTTACAATATCTTCAACCGTTTTGTCATATTTGCCTAGTATCCTATACCTAACTTCAGCATTGTACATCCAATATGAGTGATATATTGAAGACACCTATGATAAAAGCCTGAAGCCTATCCATGTTTAGAGTATTGGACAAGTGTTCTATCCTCATTCGAGATCAATAAACGGCAATGTACACATATAGGATCTTACATGAAATTAAGCTGAGAACATCAAATTCCTATTAATAATTCATTCAGTCAGTAAAATTAGTCAATTTAAAATTCAACACAATCTTCACTGAATGTCATCACCAATAAATAACTGTTTCATACTTTAGTTGATGGACTCAACTAATTAATCATATTGGCTACTATTTCACACTCCAGCTTGTTCAGCCACCCTCCAATAACCAATCATTTAGAGGTTCATGATGATTAAGATAATAAACGCAAGTTAAAACTTGTACCACAACATATGCACATTCAATATTAACCTTAATTACTTTTACCTGAGAAAATTTCATGATCTATCAACAATAATAATTATAATAACAAAAATGAAAAACTGAAATCCCATGCTCTTTGAAAAGAAAAACCTACCCAACAAAGTTATAGAAACTAATCTATAAAAAGGATCAGTATGATGTGACAATCTGTTTATATGTGTGTAAATACATATGACAATAGATGATAAGTCTTTAATCTTCGTAATATTATTTTGTTATTTTCAATGTATGTATGTAAATGTAAGCTATTTTACTATCTATTTAGAAGATCACGTTCTATGACATTTGTACACTTTCTTTTTTCAACTAATTACTATGATCGTATATAATCTCTATGATTTCTAAATAGCCTAGTAAATATGACCATCAGGTGTATAGTCGAAATAATATTTTCTTCCTATTTTATTTATTCATTTACATATTTGGGTAATTTTGATGGTGTAAAAGAGAGAGAGAGTGTGTGTGTGTGTGTGGGAGAAGAGAAGTATTAAGTTTAAACTAATAGAACCGTTATTATACATAATAGGTAAGATTTATTTTATTAATAAATAAGCACGTTTAACAGTCAAATGATTAATGAGTTTTTTTTATTATTATGTGGTAAATAGTATCATGATATGTATACACTTAATTAAATTTACATCCCTAGTTGATTTATTCAAATATATACAAAAGAAAATTAGATCTTTATTAAAATCTAACATTTTCAAGAATATCCTATCAACTGAACAATTTCATATCAGCCATTATGATAAATTCAATACTGAATATTAACAATGGAATTTCACAAACTCTTATGAATAAACGTTGTATAGGATTTTTAAAAAAAAAAAGCTAGTAGCTACGTTGGATTGAATAGCTTAGTTGAGTTTGAATTGATAAGTATTAATTTCTAGTCTCTGTGTAAAAATTAATACAATAATAAGGTTCTATCCAGCTGATGAATCATATGTAGGACGAAATGCACTTCCTAGATTCTACTGATGATCACAAAGTAGTGCGCATCCACGATCCTTCACCACCCGGGGCTCGAACCCAGGACCTACTGGCTTCGAGAGCGAGCACTTAACCATTAGACCACTGAGCTGGCATCCGACGGTGTTAATGTCTAACTTCAACCAATCCACGAAGTTGCGCCACCATATACCATTGTCTTCAGTGAGTTGATATCTCACAACAGACCTGGTTGTACTCCACTGGTAACGGCTTCCCACTAGAACTCCAGGAGTATCTCTTGAAGTCAGTCACTAGTGAGCAGATGATTATTATCAGAAGGGGTTTGTGGAGATGAAACGGCCGTCCAGTGCTTCCAGGTTTTCAATGGTGGTCTAGCTTCAACTGACTCATGATTTCAATCTGAGAAAATTTCTAAAAAAATCTCCACAAACCCCTTCTGATCACAAAGTAATCATTAAAAGTGTTTAATCATCCGCTTTGAGATAACTTATAGGTAACGATACTACTAGTCATTAGATTCTATTCCATTTTTATTCATAGTATGTGGTAAAATCGATTTGTGACTAGGTATCTTTATTTTAAAAAAATTGAATTATCTTTCACTAAAGCAGTGTGGTATTATTAGCTACAAGAGAGAAAACAGAGAAACAAAGGTTTAAATTCAATTAAATATCACTTTCTACCAAACATCCATTAAATAAAAAGCTCTAATCTTCACTAGTAGACGTACATAATTGTGGAATATGACTGAAAATTATCAGCTATACTCAGATTTTAGGTAACAAAATGACTTTTATCGCCTGTTATGATGTATGTTTCTAGAGTTACATGTTCGACTTCTTTTTTTGTTTTGTTAAACAGACTATTTCTCACAACTTATATAACATTACATTATTGTGAAACGAATTGAGGATATAAGTCGACATAAGCAGAAATCTGAAGCAAGTGTAGACAAAGAACGAATGTTTTATGTGATTACCTATAAATCTTATTCACAAAACTGATCACCTACAACCAATCTAAAGAGTAAATATTTATAACAATGAATACTGTGTAATAGACAAATAAAGTATTGATTTTTTTGGAAATGGTAATATAAATATTTATTCAAAAATATAAATTTACTTACCCGGTAATACCATGCCTAATCGTATACACTTTTGATAACGACATCGCTGACAATGTGTACGTGTATCTTTATTGATTTCACATGTATTCGACTTGGTACATGTATATTTAGTGAAATTCTCTCCTTTTGAACTACGAATAAAAAATTTCTGTGATCAAGAAACAAAATTTGGGAAAAAAATTTATTCGAAGGATAATCGATATATATATATATATATATAAACTAGTCATATGCAACAAAGAACTTGACTTATATGGGCATCAGTCCGAGTTGCAACACCAAATAAACACGGCAAGATCCCAGAGTAGTAGACGTATTAACAGTATTAGAAAACACTAAGCATTGAGAAGTAAATACTGATTCTCAAAATAAAAACATTTTTCAGGTAATAAAATTAGGAGTAAACAGAAGACAATAGGTGAATGTAACTGTGTTATTGAGAACGAGTTTCTGTATTATGTCACCCAAAGTTGAATCATTGGGTACGATAGTCACGCAGATATCACTCAGATAGTATACATTTGCTAACGTGGCTAAGTTCAACAATTAATGACTTCGTAGACATGTGAACTACTGAGGAATCCCATACTAGGAAAAATAACCGTCTACTGCTTCCAGATATTTAATGGTAGTTTAACATTAATCGGTTCATGCTTTTAATAAGATATGAAGTAGGTGTAAAATGTGGATATTTTATTGACAGTTCTAAAGTTTATACTAAAAATACTGAGAGAATAGAGAAATAAATTTTATGATGAGCACCATAATTTCAAATCATTGAGCTGAAAATTGTAATGTATCCGACTGTTTTGTTCCCATTACAAAAGCTATGTGTTTTGGACCTCAACCAACAAATAACTACCATCATTCGAATTGGTTACTTCAGGTATATCTACTGAAAGACCATATAATCTACAGACAACTTACCCATAGATATAAAAGACTTAGTGTATCAGTTAGAATGTCTACAGGCTATATGATACGCTTAAATAACACATGAAAAACTTTTCACTGGTCTTGTTATAATTTATTAAGATAGCTAACTGAACTGGTGTAAAAACTGTTACTAAAGCACACTTGCGATGGAAATTATTAACTGATAAATAGCTATTCATTTTGTGTTGGGAATATAAAAACAGGTTACATATTCTGAGATGGTGGAGAAGATTTGTAGCTCAGGTGGATGATTTTGATGGAGTTTTGTTCTCTGAGCTGGATGGTTTGGTCGTGGAGCTTTCATCGTTCTTCTGAACTTCAGATAGAAGTTTGTGCTGATGATGTCGTTCAGAAGAACGATGAAAGCTCCACGACCAAACCATCCAGCTCAGAGAACAAAACTCCATCAAAAAGGTTACATATTCGTTTGTAACATTAATTTTGCTACATCGCATACATTCCCCCTGTAAGAAAAAGCTTTCATTATTATTTTTAAAAATCTCTCTGCATATATCATATTTGTGGACGAAATTTAAAGACATTACTATCTGTAAAGACCCTTGTGTTGGTCAAAGGGAAAAAAATTGTGAGGTGATAACCATAATTATCAATATAATCAACCAATCACATTTCTAATTCTCTAACCTTGTAACGGACAAAAAATAGTGTTGTGATTCATGGCATCCAATTAGAATTAACCAAACATTATTTAGTAATGGCAAACACCAGATAAATGATGTGGTGATGACGACAGGAATAAAGAGATATATACACCAGAAGTAAAAACAAAATATAAAATCAAGTAGATTGCAGACATAACAATGACGCGATAATATAAGATGAAAGGTAGGATTTAGAACAATCAAAAATGAAAACAGGTGGTAAATTACACGTAATTGAAACATATCAGGGACATTCGTAAACTGAGATATACCAGTTTAGACATGCGAATTTACACATATGACGCATTGTGAATACAGACACACGGCGATTGTTCCTAAATTACCTAGAAAATTCAGTATGAGGAATTGTAGAGATTGAAATTAGATATTAACATCGTTGGATACCGGCTCAGTAGTCTGGAGGTTAAGCGTTCGTGCACGAAGCTAAGAATCCTAAATCCGAGTCCCTCGTGTGAGATCATGGATGCGCGCTGCCGGGGGTCCCATACTAGGGCGAAATGGCCATCCAGTGCTTTCAGGTTTTAACTCGTGTTTTAGCTTATATCAACTAATGATTCCAACTGTTTCCTAGTGCCCACTCAAAACATATACATACAATTTATCGAAGGGGTTAAATTAGTTCACTGCAGAGAAAGTAAAATGAACGACTTATTCTATAGAAATCGGCTTTTTAAATTCCCGTCTTTATTTGGCAAGTATGATCCGACTGCTTACCTTCCGGTTACATTTCCATATAAACAATTATTTATTATTTATGACGTAAACGTTGATAGAGGGTTTCCATCAAATATACTAACATTATATACAGAACTATTCATAACCATGAACTGTTGAACTAAATTACCTTCCGATTCGGGTCTAATATTATGCTCCAAATAATCAGTGATTGCACACGACTCCATATAGGATCAAACTCAGGACATTCCAGTTTTGCTTATTTCACCACTTATTTGACGTAATCCTAATCACATTTCGTCGGTAATCTCTGACCATATTTCTAACCCGGTAAACTCCATAAATTAAGTTCTCCACAGAATTTCTCGAAATTCAACTGTAAAAGCTTAACACTAGATATCATACACAATTATCATTTATTAAGGGAGGTTTGTGTATAGTCTGAAAGCAACTTCCATTTAGAATCTGAATAGTTATGGAAGAACTAAATGTTTGTGATTCAAATCGACTTATCCAATTAAATAAATGGGTTAATCTAATCAAGGTTAGTGATATTTTTAATTCCACTTAAATAAGAAATATATGCACATTTTGTCTAATCAACAACTACACGTATACTAAGCATATGCGAACAAAATCAACACCATATGTATAAATAAAAGATCAGTAGCAAAATGAAACGGAACCGAAGGGTGAATCGATTCATTCTCTGTATTTAATTACTTGATAGAATTTCTAACTAACTTAGATATAATTTTATCTGTAAATTCGAACTAAGAATTCTGAATAAATCAATAATTAATACATAAATGAAATCCAGTAATCAAATAATGACAGCTTGTGTATCGGTGATTTTAAAGAGTACTTTATATGTATATATGTGTGTGAGGGCTTATGGTAAAACTGCAAGTTAATAGTTATCTTTTCTGTAATATTCATTTAATAATAACAAAATTATGATGCCATAAGAAAATCACACAACTTTGGTTTAAATACACCCCATTGAAATAGTCAAATCCACTTAGTGATACATGCCAAAATGATTTGCAGATCGTTAACATATTTTTTTAAAAATTTTATCTCTATCTTACTCAAAGTATTTAAGCGTTGACTATCGAAGACTGAATAATGAACCGACTTATTTTAAACAACGTGTTAACCTGTCTAGTAGCTAATCATTAAGTAAGAATGGTTCGTGAAAGTAAGAAGGGAGTCAGATACATTTAATGCTAATGAATATTTATTAGAAAAGCGTGTCCGTAATTTTCAACAAAACTTATTCTTTCCTGATGATATTCAATTCCTTGTCATCTAATGAAGTAGTCAATGAATATACAACTGATTTTAATAATATAAGCGGATTTGCTGCAGCATTATAAAGCATGTAGGCCGATGGGAGTTGACTCGTGTATCTTAAGCCAATAAACTATGTAAACGGAGGACATAAAACACAACACAATAAAATTTTAAAAGTTCTGTTTTTGATGATGATTGCACATTCAATATAATCCTTAAAAAATACGCCATAAAATAGGTGACAATAAATTTAGTTCAGTTCTAGTAAGGATCTGTGACCAGTGGAACTGAACAACGTTGAACGTGAAACAAATATCACCGATGGAACTATATGATGATCACAAAATATCGCAATTTACTGCAACTGAGACTGTTAGCCGTTGGGTGGTAATTGAGTGTCCTAGATATTAAGTACCTCATATGATGTTTGAAGATCCTGTATTAAAGACTGGATGTGTCCGTGTATGCTCACTGCCCAAGACTTCCGTACTAGAACTAGAAAGCTGTCCACTGTATTTTGGTTTTGAATTAGTCTGACAACAATCAATTCGTGACGTCAATTTCAGCAACCAAATATCTTAACAAACCGCCTAAACTAATAGAACGATACCGTTGAGAAAGTTTCTCATCTTTTACAAATAAGGCAAATAAACGGCAATAGGATAATTTCAAAGATTAATGACACTGAGTCAGCATACATATTTATTAATCTATATTTATCAAATCACATTCATTTCATGATATTTCGATTATTTCGTTCCAACTGTACGTTTCCATTCTACTCGTCAACTGTTGCCATTTCATTCATTCGCATTCACAAGTCAACACTAATTATAATCATCAATCATTTCTTACTTAGACATTGTACTATCTACATTTCGTGATTTATTGCTTATCTTGTGTTGCGGAATTGTATTGTATTTCGTTTGTTGTATGTTGTACTTGATCACATGAGTTCTAAGTCAACTAACTAACTAACTAACTGTTTTAAATAACTGATAATAATAAATACTTGATTGTCTTCGCAATGTTCCAATGATGGAATTGGGAATGTTTGATAAATTCTGTGTGGTCAACTGACTTGACAGCTTATCTATCGAATGTAAAATAGTTCATTTACAAAACTAATCATTTATGTATATGAAAAGTGAAAGAAAATCATGTTGCCATCAAAATGTTTTCAGGGATTGATCAAAATCACGCAGTCCATTAGGAGGTGGTGTAATATCCTGTTTGATACCTGGACAACCATAAGTTCGAACTTCCAAGTAGTCCAATACTAGAACGAATAAGCTCTCCAGTCGTTTCTGGTTTTCAATGGTACTCTATCTAAGATCATTTTTACAATCCATCAATATAGACTAGAAATTAAATTGATCTCTATAAAACTCCTTCAGCTAAACTATTCATGAATTTGTTCAATTGTGTGTCAGTTGTCCGATATTGAAACATTAAATCATGAATCCATTTTTTGAAAATTCCAAAATGATATCAATGACAGATATAACTAAATGTTGGAAATTGTATGAATACTGAAAATTCTTTCTTCTTCTCCCTT